CTTTCCGGGCCCCCCCCCCCAGCAGACCAGGGAGACCGGGAGAAGCTTTTCTCGCCCCGGAGGACACGGGTGGTGACCCGCTGCCCGTGAGCTCTGGGGCGAGAAAAGGCCCGTTCGTAAGTGCGGATCTGACATAAGTCGGATCCGCGTAAGTCGGGGACTGCCTGTACTAAAGTTTAGCATATCTGGTAGAGCTCCAACCCCGGCCACGAAGCTCTGGCCGGCAGCAGCAGCCCCAGCACTCCAGCCCCAGCTGTGGAGCTCCTGCCTGGGGAGCCCCGGCCAGGCAGACAGCAGTGAGGCTGGGCTGGAGCTCTAGCCAGGTGCAGCAGGGCAACACGGGCTATGATGAGAGGGTCCTCCCCTGGTCTGGCAAATCCCCTCATTCGGGACCGGTCAGGTGCCGAGGGTTCTGGATCAGGGAGGTCCAACCTGTCATACCTTCCATGGTAAATTACTGAGAAGCATCAGAAGCCGATGACTTTCAAGCAACAGAAGTCCTTTTAAATACAAAATAAAAATGGATAAAGTTGAATTTTTAAGTGAAATTTGTGTTTACTGTATGTACATGTTGCACCTTTAAAATCCGTATTTTCTGGTCCGGCAACATCCATGGTCCAGCATGACCATGGGTGTTCTAGGATCAGTGTGTCCTGGTATGTTGCCTGGGGGTGTGGGCCCAGGAGCCAGCACATGGGTCAGTTGGGCTATGAGCGGGGGACAGGGAGCCAGCACGCAGCTCAGCTGGGTGGGCACCAGGAGCCGGCGCGTGGCTCAGCTGGCTGGAGGGGGGAGGGAGCCAGGAAAGGGGCAGGTATCAGGGGACCTGAAATGACTTCTGTAAAAATCCCTTATCCAGGACCAGTCAAGTCCCAAGGGTGCTGGACGAGGGAGGTCCAACCTATACTGAACTAACAATCACAGAAAGAGAAGTCAGCTACTTGTGCACAGAACAAGCAACAGTAGTGTAATATGTCTCAATCCAAGGCTATATTGGGTATTTAGTTATAAAATATTTTGAACATGGAAAACATTCTTCTATTATAAAACGTGATATTTATGGAACTGAAATCAGTTGAAATAAAAGTACAGGTTTGCAATAATTGTTCATTTCAAATGTATAGTTCCGTATGTTTTCTTGATGCTTTATACATTTTTAAAATCCTGGAGGTCTGTTTTAAATGCGTATTATGTTGGAAGTGTGCATTATCCATTTCTCCTTTCCTCCTTCTTCTTTGCCCTTGGCTCCTATGGGAGCATAGGCCATCAACAGTTTCTTTCCAAGCCTCTCTGTCTTGTGC